GACATGCCCTTCTGGTCCCGGTTCCTGCACACGAGGCCCACGCTGGGCTCACACTGCACCACCTGGCCCAGGTCCTCCACCCTCACCTCAGGGTGGCTCTCAGCCCTGCATTCCAGCTGTGTGATCTCCTCTGGCCGGTGGCAGATCTTCTCTCCCCTCCTCAGGATGTTGCTGTAGGTTTCCAGGTCCCCTCCATGAGGACCGGGCACCGGGAAGTCCGTGTCAAACCACTTGGTCCAGTTGCACTGTGGCTGGCAGTGGGTGCTCACCGGTTGGGTGATTGTGTGTGGACTGCTTGTGGTCCAGGGTTTCGTGTGTATGGTTGCTGAGTGTGTGCTGGTGTCCTTGGTGGAAGGGGACCGCAGGCGTGTCGTCCTACTGGACTTTGTTTTCGCGCTGACTTCAGAGGAGGTGGGATGTGTGGCGGGTGAAGCTGTGGAGCACAGGTCCACTACCGTACAGCACTCTATCCGGATCTCATAGTTGTAGCAAATGGGTGGCAGCTGGTCCTTGTTCAGACAGATCAAGCCTACCTCTGGGTTGCAGGTCACATTCTGCCCTAGCTCCGCCAGCGGAGTGTTGGGAAAGAACTGAGCCCTGCACTCAACATTCCGTGGCTTCTCACAGAACTTGTATCCTTTGGCTCTCAGGTTCGTAAAAGTGTCAAAATCTCCACTGTCTCTGTCAGCCCCTGGGTAGCTACCATCTATCCAAACAGTCCAATTGCAACGCTCCTGTCTGCATTGGTGGGTAGTTTCAAAGGAGGCCACTGTGGACCCTGCGGTTGAGCTGGATGCGGATGATGTGGCTGGCGTTGGCTCTGGCGTTGGGCTAGTGGTGGACAGAGTTGTTTTAATAGTGGTAGAAGTGACTCGGGCAGGGATAGATGGACCTGGAGCCGATGAAGAAGAACCAGAGGAAGAGGGAGAAGGACCTGGGGCATGGGTAGAGGGACCTGAGGGAACTCTGCTATCTGTGTGGTCCGTTGAGATGACTGAGGCTGAGGAGATGGTGGCCCCCACCGCAGCTGTGCTGGAGGCTATCGAATGGGTGGTCTTGGTAGGAGCACTGGAGGTTGGGCAGCTGATGGGGGTACAGCACTGGACTTTGATCTGGTAGTTGTCACAGAGCCCTGACACCTGGTCCCTGTTGTGACAGGTCAGGCCCACAGCTGTGCTGCAGTTCACACGCTGCCCTAGTGCGTGAAGAGGCACCTTGGGGCTCTTCTCAGCACGACACTCCACTGCTTTTGGCACTTGGCAGATCTGGTGGCCATGGGCACGGAGGTTCTCCAGGGTGTCAAAGTCGCCGCTGTCGATGCCACGTCCAGGACGGCTGACATCCATCCAGCGAGACCAGCGGCACTCCTCCTGGCACCCTGGCATGGGTGAGGTGGAGGCTGTCGTAGATGTGCTCAGGGTGGAAGCGGGGGCAGGGGTCTCCACAGACAGGGTGCTGCCGGGGTGTGTGCTGGAGGGTCGCATTGAGGTCATGACTGTGGGCAAAGGTAACAGGAGTGAGCACCGGGGCCTTGAATCCCAATCCCTGAGTCCCTGATCCCTGGCCATACCCTCCCTCCTCATTCATCAGCTGCCTTGTGGCTCTCACCACCCTGGTCATACCAACCTTGGAAACTGAATATTAGGGCCACATCAGTCAGTTTGTCTCCTCAGAACCTACCTGCCTGTCGGTGGGTGCCATAGTGGGCCCATGGACAGACAAATTAATCTCCGCTAAAGGAAATCTACTCTCTAGGCCATACCCTGAGCAGAATCTACATGTTTATTCCCCTCAAAATCATCTTGGGGGGACTCTGAGGAAGCCCCAACAAGATGAGACCTCAGGGATACCCTAGTGATCCATGCAATGTAAGGCAATCAAGCAGCTATGAATTCTGGGAAAATCTCATAGTCATCTAAGGGCTGGCTTAGAATCACTTGTTCTTGGAGCCTCTAACCTAAGGCCCACATTCTGTCGAGATCAGGTCCAGTAGCTACAGAAAGCAGCACCATGGACACCAGGCCTTCCAGGGTGAGTCAAGGAGATTGATCCCTTCCTCTTGCAGTTAGAATAAAAGCAGGGTACGCCTGTCTCTGATAGCTGGCTCCTGAGCTCCTTCTGGAGCCTCAGTGCCTGCCACCAACACCCATAGCTAGACATTAGCCTAACATTCATCAAGAGAAGCAGCACCAATCAGCAGGGAGAGGGACACCCCCAGGAGGCCTAGCATTTTCTGCTGCCGGTCACATCTGCCTTACCAAGCGGTGTGGAGAAGGAGAAAGTGGTCGGGGGAGCGGGGGTGGCGGGGCTGCAGGTGCCAACAGTCCTCTCGATGGTACCGTTGGCCCTGCAGTGTGCAGAGATGCAGCCTCCCATGCCATCTGTCGTGTGGTAGATGATGTCGCCAGGATGGAAGTGTTGCCCGTTGTAGGTACAGACACAGGCTGTGGGGGATAGACGTTTATGCCCTTCAGGGGCTGCTAAGGCACTGAAGACAACCAGCCCCTCCCCCACACACACTCCAGCCGCTGCCGCCACCCCATCCCCAGCTCAGAGAGGAGGCTGCAGATGCTCACCACCAGCATCATGGGCACAGCGCACGCCGCTCTCCGTGCACATGCTGTCAAGAGAAGGAAGAAGCGGGACTGAGCGCATGGGACCTGAAGCTGTTTGCGGAGCACGCGCTGTGCTTAGAGCTGGTGATGAAACAGCGCTGTCACAGCCCAAGCTGGAGGCTGGGGTCCCACCCAGGTCCTAACCTTCAGCCTCACAGGCTCTTCTCTGCTAAGGTCATACTCTCTCAAATGCCACCCCTGTCAACAACTCGTGGAGACAATGTGGACTTTGAAAGGCATTGTCCCCTCGTCCCTGGGAGGACCTCTTGACTAAGGACACATCACATTCACACATGGCTGGATCTTAGACCAAGAGTGTCCTCCCTTTTAGATGCGCCTTAGGCCAAAGGCATCCTTCTCAGCTGAGTCCCAAGCTAAGGTTGTCCTCCCTTCATCTGAACTGAAAGCCAAGGTCACCTTCCCTCCCACCCCAGCCTCAAGCCAAAGGCACCCTTCCTCTTAGCTGAGCCTAAGGCAAGTGTTCTCCCTCCTAGTTGAAGATCAGGACACTGGGGGATCTGGCAGGTCGGCATGCAGGAAGCCCCAGAGAGCTGGTAGTATCACTCTTTACCCCTCAGCTTAGCCTCGGGCTGAGAGGTACCTCTAGACCCCAGGCTGGCGCTATGAATAAGGTTGGGTTGAATTCCCCACCGTGTTCCAGGTTCTACCACTCTCTGTCTGGGTGACTTACCAGGAATAACAGTTCTTGTCTGAAGGTACTGTTGCGCCTGGTCGGTACAACTTTCCGTTGACGCGGCAGGGACGTGGTGGTGGAGGCGAGGGGGTGACTGTACAGTTGGCTACACACCGCATCGTGCCCTCATCAAAGATGGGGGCCGTTGGTGGGCACTTGGGGTAGCAGCCTGTGGACCAAGAGACCTGAGTCCCAGGCGGAGTCTGCCCCAGGCCCTCTCACCTCCCAGGGCCCATGTCTTTCCCCAGTGACCAGCCTCATCTACAACACTAGTGTTTGAGGTCGAAGCCATAAGGTCTCCTAGTGGGATCAGGAAAAATTCATCCCAACCAAGGGTCTCCTGAGAAAGGAACTCCCAAGCCTTAGCTCCCAGGATAGAACCCAGTCCCGATCCTAAGAACCCAACAGATCCTGTTCCTCCCCGTCAGCCTTCAACTTACCTTCAAGACCACGAAGATCTTGTAGGCACTGTCCGCTAGGGTTCTGGCAGGTGCGCATGCAAGGGGCACCACATGGCTGATAGTGCCACTGGCACTGACCCTCTGGGTTGTAGTAGTCACAGAATAGCGCTAGAAAACGGAGAGATTTATGGGTGTGAATCTGCACCTAGGGTCTGCTGCACCGTTTTGCACCCCACCCTGAGAAAGGGTGGCTCAGATGGAGGTTCCAGGCTGGCGAGAGCATCAGAGAGGCAACCATCAAGTGGGACTCTCCAGCTAGAGAAACTGCCCCCCAACCACACTCCTCCCTCGTGGCCTCACGTGGACTGTACGTAAGAACGTGTCCTGAGGCTTCCGTTGCAGAACGCTTTCTGAGGCCAGGCTTTATCCTCCAGCTGCCCACCCTCGTTTCTGCTTCACTTTCCTGAGGAAACTTTTGGCCCTCTAATGCATCCTGATGAACATACAGAGCTTGCCTCTCCTGCCTGGAGCCCTAGTCCACAGCAGATATCCTAGCCCAGCCCTGGCAGTTCCCAGCCCTTGGAGCTGTTCATTTTTAGAGCCACAGTGTTTGCACACTTGGATGTGCAGGACACCGTGCACATGGATAGACACACACACATTGGAGGTACATGTATGTGCCTGCACGTAGGTCAGAACCAAAACAGGAGGAGCATGGGAGGCTGTGACCCACCTCATTCCCCGGTCCCACCCTTTAGCAACACAGACAGAGCCCCACTCACGGCAGATGTCAGGGGTCCTCCAGGACACACACACTCCCACTTCGTGGCAGGCCTGGGCATAGGCGGCCACAGCAGTGCAGAAACACTCACAGTCACCCCCTGAGTCGCAGGCACATGCGTCACTCACACAGGCTTCGTAGTACTTGGCAGGCTCCACCTGAGAGAGACAAAGCCATCGGGTTCTGGAGACTCCCGCCTCCCCTGCCTCCTAGTACACATCCTGGCCTAATAACTTGGACCAGCTTCTACCAGCATTTATGGTGACAAATGTATGACCATGAATGTCCAGCCACGCCATCATAGTGTCCGTAGACTGGCCCTGACGATGGAGCAGCCTAAAGCCTCCTCAGTCCGTGTTCAGAGTTAATAACTCCCAACAACAGCCCGTTCTGATGTATGCATGTGGGCCCCTGAGCCCCAGACTCTCATGCCCTTGGCTGATGGCTTCTCCATCCTAAGCTCCAGAGACCGCCCAGCCCCAATGCCGTACGTGGGCATGGCAGGTGGCGAAGGTTGCACTGTTGATGATGCTGCATTGCTTTTGGGCCCAGGACTTGCGGTAAGGGTTGGCAAGGCAGGGGTCCTTGGGCACCAGGGCATCCGGGCAGGTTGGAGAGAACTTCCAGCTATTTCCAAACTCCAGCACATCGCCCACCACAGACTGGCTGCGTGTGGTGAAGTCATTGATGGCGTTGTCGTCAAAGTTCCCACACAGGCCACAGACCCTGCCCTGTAGATGCGCAGAGATTAAAGGTGTGAGACAGAGCTACCTTCCTTTACCCTGATATATATCTGATCTGCTCTATTACCACCTGACTTCCTGGAGAATGAGCCCAGAAGGAGCGGCACGTGTGAGTTTGGAAGGCAACCCCTGTGGCATAAAGTGGTGGTTCATGGCACTTGTGCCCACCTGTGTCTGCCCCCAAGCTCATGCCCATGACTTCCCAGGAGGCCTGTGAGTCCCCCAGCCTGGCAACCTGGGAGACCTCTTTTTCCATTTTTCCCTTGAGGCTGCTTCTTCCCTCTATATTGACCTTAGTGCCAGTTCTCAGTCACTTTGTAGGGTGAGCATGGGGCTTAGAGCCTGCCTTGGATAGCAGTCAAAAACACCCCAGTGAGCTGGACAGTGGCCCCATATTTGCCCCTGTTCTAACTCTGGGGCTTGTGAGTTGGGCCATCTGAGAAGCAGAATCTTTGAAGATATGGTCAAGTGAGACAAGGTCCCAATAAGGTAGGTTGAGTCCTGGGTCCCTTGTTTAGTGACCTTCTTAAAAAGAAACATACAGGCACAAACACACAGGGAACCATGCTACAAAAGAGGTTGTCTAGGATAATCAAGTTACAATCCAAGGGTACCTGGAGCCCCGGAAACTAAAGGACAAGAGAGATCCCCCTGAGCCTCCAGGGGGATTGCAGCCCTGCTGACATCACTTGGGCTTCTAGCATCCAGATAAGAAAGAGAGCTGGCCACCCAGTTTTTGGTCATTTTTTATAAAACTACAAGGCACATACAGCAGGGGGCCTCCTCCCTGCCGTTCTAAAAGTTCTTCCCATCGATGGCCCTCCCTCCTTCCCTCTCTCTCTCAATATTTTTTTCTTTTTTTATTTTATTTTTATTAATTACATTTTATTCACTTTGTATCCCCTCATAAGCCCCTCCCTCCTCCCCTCCCGATCCCATCCTCCCACCCCTCGTCCCCTTCTTCACGCATGCCCCTCCCCAAGTCCACTGATAGGGGAGGTCCTCCTCTCCTTCCTTCTGATCTTAGTCTATCAGATCTCATCAGGAGTGGCTGCACTGTGAAAATTTTATTACACTGATTTCATGTGTTTCTATGTGCTGGATGCGTATGCCACAGTGCTCTTATGGAGGTCAGCTCTTCTCATGGAAGTCAGCTCTTCTTCCACCATGTGGGTCCTGGGGATCGAACCTCAAGCCTGAGATCATCAGCTCGTCAGCAAGTGCCTTTACTCCCTGAGCCATCTCCCTGGCCCTCTGTCTCTGTCTTTCTTTGCCTCTCTCTGTCTCTGGGTGTGTGGCTCTTGATATTTCTCACTCTCACTCTGTCCATCTCTAACTGTCTTTGTCTCTATCTCTGAATCTCTCTGTCTCTGTCTTTACTTTTCTCTCTCTGTTTCTCAGTGTGTCTCTGTCTATCTCTACCCGTCTCCCCTCCCCCGTGTGAGTCTCAGCCCTTGAGGGATGTCTCACCTTGAACTCAGGGCTGAGTCTGAGAAAGATGCTGGTCTTCCCGTCCCACAGAAGCACCAGGCCAACATCGGTTTCCACCACCAGGTAGATGCCCATCCGGTGGACATAGTAGGGGGGCTCCTGCCCCACACCCTTCTGGATCACCTCCACCTTGCCGTCACTCAGCTTCAGCTCATAGTTCTGTGTGACAAGAGGTCCTCAGAGCCTGGCCAGGACCACACATACCCCTCCTGTGTGCCCCTACACCAGTGCGGAGCCCCCGGGGTGTTCTGCCAGCCCCATTTTACTCACCCCCAGGAAGATCTTGATGTCCTTGGAACAAGTGGTTCCGGTGGTACCACAGGGGACATTCTCGGTGACAACACGAAAGGCATCCTGGGAGCTGTCATTCCCACCACAGTGGTCCTGGTAGAGCGGAGGATCATTAGGGGAGAGGGAAGGGTGATGAGTACATGGGGCTGTGTGTGGCCGTGGGTGAGGCTACTGGCCAGGCATACCTGCAACAGCGTGTACTCGCAGTCCCCGCTGAAGCTGTAGCGTTGCCCGTCAAAAGTGAGGTAGTGGCCATCCCCATACACGGCACAGGTGGCCAGGCAGGGCTTGCCTGTGCACTGCCACATTCTATTCTCACAGGTGCTGCAAAGAGGGCAAAGGTCAGCCAAAGGCTCCCACAGGAATGGAGACTTTCCTGGCAGCTCTGTAGGGACCCCCTATGAGAGACTGAAGCACAGAGCCCAGGCACCTTGAGAGCCTGTGCTCTGCAGGTCCACCAGAAGCCATGCTTGGGTTTAGTCCATTCCTAACAGGGACCTCTGGGGCTGATGACGGCTTGGATACCCACCTCCCCCACCGGGACCCTCACGTACCAATTGTTGCAGCCCACTCTGATGGTCTCCCCAGGCCTGTAGGTGGCCTCGTTGTGCACACAAGGACAGTCCTCAATAACAACACAGCCTCCATTGCCATCTGCCACCAACCCATCCGGGCACACACAGCCAGGCACGCACTCGGAGCTGTACTGTAGGGCAAATGGACAAGGTGATTGGACGGATGGATGTCTGGGGCTGTCATGTCCTCTTTGTCTGAGGGACTTCAGGTGCCATGTGAGCAGGAATCCCATAAGCAGGGTGACCAGAGGTGCTCTGGGAACACGGTCTAGTCAGGCTGCCCCGAAGGCCCTCAGTATGGAACAGCCCCACTGCTCTGCTCCAGGAGGAAGCTTGATGGTCTCCACAGACACCACAGCAAGAGAGACAAGGGAGGTGAGGGGGCCATCAAGAAGGTCCTAGGAAGGGTTGTTAGGAAGCAACTGGGTCACTTACGCAGGTCATGTCCAGGGTGTGACAGCTCTTCTGACATCCAGCTCCAGTGTCTCCAGGTGTGGCATTGTGGCAGTCAAAATAGATCATGGGTGCATCACACACTGGAAAAGGAAGGGGGCCAATGAGGTGATGCCATCCACCCCTGCCAAGCTTTCTCTAAGGGAGGACAAGTGCTATAATATCTGAGCCTTTTGTTTCCAGACAGCTAAGCAGGGAAGAGTGCACATCTGTGATGTGTGTGTGTGTGTGTGTGTGTGTGTGTGTGTGTGTTGTCTGAGTTGAGAGTGCACTGAATGTTTTCATGATAATGTGTGCACACTGTCCCCACCTTCACCTCCCCTGTTCCTGAGCCCTAGAGCACAGGCACAGACTGTACCACAACAGTCAAACTGATCATCGCCCCAAGTGCTATTCACTGAAAGCTCTTTGGAAATATTCTCCCAGAGTTGACAGGCTCCCTCACAGGCTCACCTGGAGCGAGGGCAGGACTTCCAATGCAGGTTAGTGTTCCTTGGGTGCAGGTGCTGTGAGTAGAGGAGTGTTAGAACATCATCCGCTCTGGGCCCCGTGAGTCCCTGCCATGTCCTCCTTGTCTGCATGACTGCAGGGGCATGGGAGCAGGGTAACCAGGGGTTCTCTGGGAACGCCATCTACTAGGCCTAAGGGTCTTACCAAATGGCCCCACTGTCATGCACAGACTCGCCATTGGGAACTGTGGATCCCCTGTGGTAGCAGGGACAGCTGGTGGCCTGCACACATTTGCCTGAATCATCCAAGAAGGTGCCTTTGGGGCAGGTGCAGCCATCTACAGGGATGAAGCTGACATGGCAGGTGACATCTTCCCCATTCAGAGCGCGGCAGGTGGGCTGGCAGGTGCTGATGTGGTATTGGTAAGTCATTGACTTTGGGCAGGTAGTTGTAGGCTTTGCTGTGTGGGAGCAGAAGGAGGGGACGCTTAGGACACTGGTGGACACATAGCCCAGCAATCAACAACAGAGGATCTTGCAGTTCAAAGCCTTTCCAGCTCCCCCCAGATTCTGTCTCCTGATTAGTTCCCTTGGTCATTATGGCTTGGGTCTCCCTTAGTTTCAGAGACTGATGTAGGGATAAGACACTAGAATCATTCAACCAACTTCTAGGCAAAGGGTGGCAGCCCTGGCCTGTAGAGAAAGAGAGCCCAGTTTGCCCACACAACACTCACTGCAGACGCCATCCCTCCAGCCACTGAGTAGCACGCCTTTGGCAGCACAGGCACGCACATAGGAGGACAGGGCTGCGCACATGCAGTCCTCACTCTTCTCACAGTTGCACGTGTCAAACATGCAGTTCTGGGGATGGAGACATCAGAGCATCAGGGAGCCGGCCTCACATCCAGGAGCCTGGCATCTTGGAGCCATCCCAGCATACTCCAACCTTCCTTACCTTCCTCAGGACACTCCCCAACCCACATTCCTCTGTAGTTCATTTTAATGTTGAGACCTCACATGTAGCCAACCTTCCCACTAGGACATGGATCTTGGAAAGACTCTGGTCCTTTATCTTTGTGATCCACCAGGTCCAGCCCTCGAACACCCCATCTTTTTTACTGTCCTATTACTCACATTTCTCAAAGTTTCATGTTTAGACCTATTTCTAGTATAGACCAGAGGCATGATCTAAACTTAATGACCATGCAATGAATGAATAAGTGAAGTAACATGAACGTCAGGGAATGGGACCAGAAATGCAGACTTGGAGAACATTCCTGCCACCTTCTACCTGTCAATTGCCTCCTTCCAGTGTCCTCTGATCCTCCAAAGAGAGGGTGCACAGTGCATTGTTAGAGTCCTAGCTAGCTAAAGAACCAGTGCGTTACCGAGAAGTAGGTGCTGGGGTTCACGGTGGCGTGGCACTGGGAAAACGGGCCACTGGCATCAGTCAGCTGAGAACACCAGTGCTGAGCATACTTCTCTGTGAATAGAAGGAAACCCATCAGCTACTTTTTCACTTGGCCTCATGAGGCATGGAGAAGCTATAGTCATTGTTTCTCTTCTTTCCTATGTCCCCAGAGCCCTTATCTAAGAATGTGAGTGGCCCATCACCACAGAAAAACAGTCAAGACTTCTGGAATAAGACAGAGGAAAAGAGGGCAGGACTGTCTGATACTGAACACTACCTCCTCAGCCCTTCTCAGGGGACTGGACAGCATCACAAGTACAATATAGTCTCATATCCTTTCTTTTACTCTGAATCAGGACCCCTAAAATCCAATGCCCTGTGTACATAGTACGGCAGATGAGGTCCCTGGCTATCTGTGAATCTGTCCTGGAGTTCCCTCATGTCCTCCCTGCCATCTGGTAGGCACGGATGCTGGACACCACTCTTACCTGGAATGCACACACTTGTTTCATTCGTAATACTACATGGTATACACTGCAGCGATATATTTCTCTGAAGACAACTCTTGCCTTCACAAAAATTGAACTTTTGTCAGAAGCTGCAGTGATCATTTAAGGTAACGTACTCAATCTGCTGTGTGCTCGACCTGTTCAAGTTTTACTTGACTTTAAGAGAACAATATAACTGACCTTACTATAGCTTGACTCTCCTCTGTAATTAGCTTTTAAAATCTAAGCTAAATGTATAGATAAGGTTTAAATTTATTCTTAAATTGTGTACTGTCCCATGCCCCTGACTCGGAATAATGAAAGTGTGTTATTATAATCATTTGCTGAAATGAAATCCAACACGTTGAAAGCAACATTATGCAAAACAAATATCCCATAAAAGTTGGAACCAACATTCAGATACTAGTTGGTAAAGTCTGTGTGTACTTTTGAGTGCTATTCTGGATCAGCTGGAGTCAGTAAAGTAACTTTTTCTTTTGTAAAACTGTTAAAAAATTTCCTATGGAAATGAATTCCTCGTTCCTTCCCCATGCCATGTTTTCCATGCTGCTCAATAAATATGACCCCTTGTTACAGGCAGGCAGCAAAGACAGATCAAATACAATAGACAGGCCACTGACTACAAACTATAGACAAATGGAGAGCACCAGGGGAGAAATAAATAATTCAAATTTGGGCTCACTTTTAGCCAAACTATTCCAAGAGAAAGCTGACTTTTTTTCATTCCTCAATATGGCATCTACACATTTTGGTGCCTCTTTGGGGTTTTATTCAATGCATGCTTAGCACAATACACTGCATACATACTAGTTTAGCTATTCACCACTTCAGGGTGGACAGCTGAACACCAGGCTAGGTCAGAGTTTGCTGAGAAAGTGCTTCTTGGGAAACTATCCAGCTCAGAAATGGAAGCAAAAACAAAATAAGACAAAACAAAACAAAACAATCCCTAAGCATTCAACAGAGCATAGACCAACAGATACACTCACCATTCTCCACGCTGAGCGAGCAGGGGTCCTCGAAGATATTCTTGACATTGGGACAAGCTGCCTGGGTCTTGAAGGTGTTGAAGAAGGCAGCTGCTGTGCCCTCCACAACACCACTGATGGTCTGGAAGTCATCTGCCTGGATACTGTTGAAATTCCCACAGAGCCCTGAGGGCAGGAGAGCAGGTTGAGGCCCCATGTGGGCTCTAAGATGGAACAGGCTCAGGCCCAAAGTCAGTGTCTCTTACCGCAGGTTAGCCCTCTGAACTCAGGGGTCAGCCGCACAAACACCTGCATGATGGGCACCAGCTGGATCTCAAGCTGCAGACCCAGGTTGGTCTGGGCAATGATGAAGAAGGTTGAAGGCCGGAAGATGGTAACATTAGCTATGGACAGAAGATGAAAGTTTCAGAATGGGGCATGTCCCGTGGGATGGAGAGACACAGTTCTGACTCACAAGCAGCCCTCACCTGTCGACACTGGCAGCTGGGTATAGATCTGGTTCACAAAGACCTCTCCAGTGGCTTTCACCATGACCACCTAGAAGCGTTCCAGAGCCAACAGGGTCAGTGTGGGACTGAGGTAGTATCCCCCTCACTGTTCTCTGGTAGCCAACACACTGTGAAGTGTTCTTGCCAGGTCTGGGAGACCTTGGGTTATGAAGCTGTAGTCCCCATGAGGTAAACTTATGTTCCAAGATTTGTCTCCATCCTTATCCTAATCTCCTAAGCTTTCAAAAGAATCATATCTTAAGTAACATAAAAGCAGAAACTAATGTATTTTTTAAAAATGACTTCAATGGAGTTGTGCAGGATAGAGATGCTTGAGTCCTTTTTCCTGGGGCCATCTGGTACAATCACAGGACCCCCAGAGCCAATGTTCCACTTAAGGGTAGTCCCCAGAAAGACCCACAAACAGTGGCTGCACTCACTGTGCAGAATGTGACTGGCAACATTATTTATTTCCACCTCCCATGACCTGACTCTGCCAGAGTTCTCCTCCGTTCTCCCCGTGACATTCACCGTTTGGCCCCCGCTCAGGCTCAGCATCACACTCTTCAGACAAGTCTCGCTGTCAGTCAGTCCACACTTTCGCAGTTCAGCCAGCACAGTGAAAACATTGCTGTCACAGGGCTGCAGGGGTAACACAGATCCTTACATACTGCTGGAACCTCTGCCCACCTCATCCTCCCTCTCCTCCAATCCATGCTACCCACCCCCCTTTGCTGGAAATCCCTGCGCCACCACTGCCTTAGACTCTAAGAAGCAGCCGTTTGATTCCAGGAGGAAGGCGCTCCTAGGAGCCCATGCCAAGACTCCCCTGGGGACCCAATGCACCTACTGAATGCAATAATTCTAAAAGTTGGGAGGGAGCTATGTTATGGGGAGACTGGGGAGGGGAGTTGAGATGGTGAAAGGTGGTGGATGATCCAAATACAAATTTTTCAAAAATAAATAAAAATATTTTTAATTAAAAATGGTTTTGTTTTGTGGTTTCCAAGGTAGGGAGGAAGGAGATGACGAAGTACAGTCTAGGATGGTCAGCATGGTGAGCTACTGGAGGGTACCAGGAGAGTAGATACAGGATAGTTCACATTTGTCACCTCTCTGGGCATGCTCATGAGTGATCCTGATGGACACTTAATGTGGACAGTAGTGGCTGACCGCTTTTCAGCACTGGTTGTGACCAATGCATCATAGTAAAGCAAAATACTAATATGGGGAGACAGCTGGAGTCAGTGAGGCCTAGGTATTCCCTGGGATATCTATTTAATTTGTTTATAGACACAAAACTCTTCCAAAAATAAAATAAGACAAAGACTGGAGAGATGCATCAGTGATTGTGTACTGCTCTTGCAAAGGGCCCAAGTCCAGTGCCCAGCACCCACATCACTTTGCTCATAACCACTAGTAAATCCAGCTCCAGGGAATCTAATGCCTCTTCTAGCCTTCATAGGCACCATGCCCATGTCCACACAGAAAGACACATGCATAAGTATAAATATATAAATAAAATAATAAGTCTCTCTTAAAAAGACAAGGTCAGAAGGACCAGAACAATGAACAGGGGTCATTCAGCACTAAAGACTCAATCAACAGCCAAGTGACTCCAGAGAGCCTGGGACCAACAGGCAGAAGTATTTCCTCATGGTTTTATCGTGAAGTCCCCCAACGACTCCCTGGTGCGGCAGTGATGGGAAGCCAAGGGCAGTGATACCTAGAGAGGCCCACGGCTTGGTGCAGTCCCCAAAGTCAAAGGCCCCAGGACAGCATAGGCCTCACCTTGCTCAGCACATAGCTGCAGTCCCCATGCACTGTGTACTGTCTTTCATCAAATGTGGAGAAGTGGGATCCTCCCAGCACTGAGCAGGTGCCAGGGCATGGGACCTCCTGGCAGCTCCACCGACCTCCAGAGCATGTGCTGTAAATAGAAAGAAGAAGGATATAATATGTAATAGTCCCAGTAGCAACAACCCTGTTATTTTTGCCACCTAGACTAAAGGCTTCTGCCCATGGGGCATTGACCACAGCAGCCTAGCAGCTAACCAGTTCATAAATCCCAAGGAAGTAACCCTGGTATATGTCATGGTCTTTGATGGGAACCCAAGACCTACCACGTGGTGCAGTCAGTAGAGTAATTGGTGCCCGGTGCGTAAGGTGTCCCATTGTACACGCAGGCACACTGGGATACAGGGACACAGCCAGTCTGGTTGATGTCATCAAGCACCATTCCTGTAGAAAGCAAGTCCATGTGACAGGTGTCATCTAGGAGCCTTGGTAAACATCAGCAGCACAGAGTCACTTTGGGCCAGGGTCATAGGGATCTTCCAGCGAGGCCGAACAATGGCAGCATGGCCACCCATGCAACTGTGTGCTTTGGAGGTCCTGTGTTGGGGTTGGTCAGGTGGAGAATCCATCTTACCCTCAGGACAGAAGCATCCTGCAACACAGTGGTCCTCACAGACCTGGGAACGCTGGGGGTTGGAGCAGGTGTCCACACAGGGTGAGCCACATTCCTGGTGCTGCATGTTGGGGGGGCAAATCTGGGCTGCAGGGAGACCAGAAAGGAAGGTCTTAGAAAGCCAGGTCCCACTTACATAGGATGGTGTTATGATGGTGGGGAGTTACGGCTGAGGGCACTCACGGCAGAGGCTGGGACTCCGCCAGTCCTGGGGCTGTCCTCCAGCATGGGCGCACTGCCGGGAGTACTCAGCCAGGGTATGGCAGATGCAGCTGGACACATCAGGGCTCTCACAGAGACAGAGGTCCTGCCAGCAAGCCTCCAGGTAGCTGCTGATATCCACCAGGGCCGCACAGTTCGAGAACAGCGGACCTTTCAGGATCTCCTCACAGATGCCCTGGGCAAGGGCAGGAACCCATGCTTAGTTCAGAGCCTGGGCTCTCCCAGAAGCACCTGGGTTATCCCAGAGCCCACAGCCCTCCTCCCCACCCTGTCCAGCCATTCCTCTCAAGGCTTACAGATCTGGTGGAACAGTTCTTCTGGGGCACAGGCAGGGTGTCCTGGCATTGCTCTGTGGGTCCATCCATCTTCTGGAGGTTCCCAAACTCAAGGGGTGTCAGCCTAGCATCTGCAAGAAGCCCAGAGCAGCTTTGTCTACATCTCCCCAGGCCCCCAACCCATCATCCCAACAACCAATTCCAAAGGACTCCCCACTGCAAATGTCTATGTGGTCCTGTGATCCCTGCCTGGCTTCCTCAACTTCACTCCCTAGGATGCTGCTATCTGGAACTCATGGGAGGAGCCCAGAAAGAGCCTTGACTTCCTAGGGCAACAGGAGAAGATAGAAGCCTTAACAGATACATAGCCATCAGTCCTTCTGGCCAGTCTGTGATGCAGCCTGGAGGACTGCAGAATGAGCCTGACATCCTACCAGGACCTCAGACTCTGGCTGGCCTGCACATAGCATGGCCACATGCTTATATGAGACTTAGGGGAACTGGCGGAGAGAGGGGGTTGGAGCATCTGGCCGATGCAGCCACATTTGTGGTGCCATTGCATGGTGGTAAAGAAACGTGACGCCCCCTCCCCCCGCAAGGTCTGAAGGAAGCAGAAATGATTCCATGAGACAGTCTGTGTCCACAGAATAGGGGTACCAAGAACAAGAGCTCTGACAGGAATCTCGTTCCCTGCATGCATGTAAGGTGTGTCAGCATGCCAAGAGCGTATGCATACATGAGTGTGGCTATGTGCAGGTGTGTCTGTATGTACTTATGTATGAGCTGGAATTGTGGGGGGAGCCTACGTGTGCCTGGGTGAGCAGCAAGTACATGCAATGTGTGGGTGACAGAGAGCATTCGTTTGCATACACATAGAGATATATGACTTGAGAGACGGGCAGGCAAAGTCACCTGGGGCCCTGAGTTACCGCCTGGGACTTACTGTGGGAGAGGAACTCGCTGGACTCTGGGCTGCCATTGAAGTCTCCACAGAGACCACAAGTCTTATTGGTGTATTTGGTGTCCAACTCCAGCTGAAATTGGAAGAGACATCAGACACTGGTTCCCACTATAGACACCCCAAGATGTGACATATAGACCCCTCAAAAAGGGAGTGAGGGATCCCAGAGGAGACACAAGCCAAAAGACTCTCCCCGTAAGTCATATAAAGCCACAACTTGGAGCAGGGCTAAGAAAACATTCCATACACAGGGCCTGTGTCTGGGGATGAAGCCTTGAGGCTCTACTGATGTCTGGGTGCCCACCTTCCCCAACTGCATGGGGCCTATGCCCCCTCTCCTAACCAACCTCCTGATCTCACTAGGAGGCTCCACCCACTGTCTATTTTACCAGAAGGCTCCGCCAGCCCACACCCGTTCCCCACCACCAGGAGACTCTCCTCCCTCTCACCAGAAGACTGTCATCGTCATTCCACAAGAAGACCAGCCCCAGCCTGGCTACCACCTTCAGGTATCCACTGCCGAGCTCGATGAGGACCCCAGACTGGCTGAAGGGCAGCTGGACCCTGTAGAAGAGAGTAGGGATAAGGTACTGAGGGGCAATGAGGTGAGAGAGAGGCCAGGCAGAAGATCCCAACAGCCCTGTGTGTGACAGAGACACGGGATTGATATTAAGGGAGAGCAGAGGTGGAACGTCTATCGTGGGACTGGGGACTGCCTGTCCAGCTTCTCTCCTGAGAGTCGAGTCCTGACAATCCCAGTGTCTCCCACAACCCCGATGTACTACTTCCCCCTCATGACCCAGCACCTCCGTCACCCACCCAACTCTGGCCCACACTCACTGGTGGTTATTGACTAATACGGAGTTCTTGGTCAGCTCAACAACTAGGCCATCAAGCTTCATGGTGACGCTGCTCAGAGTGGTGGAATTAGACTCCCGGCCACGACGGAGCTGGATATTGAAGTCCTCGTAGGCAGCCCCACAGTGTGCAGAGAACACGTAGTTGCAGAGGCCAGGGAAGCGGAAGACTTGGCCATCAAAGGTCTTATAGTGGAAGTCGCCCCATGTGCTGCACACCCGCCCGGTATGTGCCGGGTTGAGGGCTGTGGACCAAAGCAATGGCAGGCTTTAAAGGCACTGTTCTGGTCCCAGATCCCTGGCATGCCCTCTACGCTCTGCCTTTCACATTGGCTATCTCCTTTCCATGTGCTACTGAGATCAGACAGGATGCTGCCCACAGTGGGTATCTGCGATCCTATTTGACTTAGGAATCCTGGGACCAGCTCACAGCAGCTTTGAATGCTCCTCTAACCTTTCTTGTGCTTATTAAATGGTATCCAAAAACCCTTTTCTTCTAACTAGCTCTTCAAGTCTAAACCAAGCTACTTTCCCACCTGTGTTTTTGGGTTCACTCACCTCGTACCACAGGGATGGTCTGCAGAGGTGGAATGATGGTCACTCCATGGAGGGCAGCACCTGTGGAGACAGGAGATTGGATCATGGGATCCAGTGAGTTTGTGAAAACGCCAGAGGTTGTGGCCCAGAGGAGGCTAAGGGCTCAGGGCCAGCAGAAGCAGACTCCCCGGTCCAGCTTGGAGGCTACTGCCTGTTGAGGCATGGCCCAGCCTGAGCCCTACATCCAACGTTCTCTCTGTGTCTCCTGGAGACCCTGATGGCTTCCAGGGTCTCCAGGACTCTATGGTCCTGGAGCTGAGAAACCTCTGTTTGCATGTGGGGCTTGTGTCCTGATACTCACAAATGCTGGAATCTAGGCCAGCAGCTCAAACTCTCCCCTTCCCCTTTTTAACCAGTTTGGGCGAATGCAAACTGCAAGGTGCTGGCGGGCCCCTGAGGCCCCAAGAGACCCCTTGTTTTGGCATGTTTGTCTGATTCCCTGACTCCGAAGGTGAATGTGATGCTGCAACAGGTAAATCAAACCAAGAGAGGTGGATCTAGATGGATGGGACAATGAGCCCGGGCTGCAGACAGCATAGCCCAGCCATCCTGACAGACTCTCCTCGGCTCCCTTCAAAGCCTGAGCATGGATGCCTGTGAGGACTCCATGGGCTGGATCAGTTAGGAAGAAGGGTGGCTGACCACAGCCATGTATATTGGCATACTTCAGCTCCAAGTTCTGTCTCCTCGGTGTGCTAGCTGAGGGGCCATAAAGGCAAGAAGGCCCTAGGGGAGCCAAGGTAGCATTCAGGTAGACTTGGGGGGACATGGTAGGCATAGAAAGGCTAAGACTCACCACCATGGCCTTGAAGGAGAGAGACATCAGAGTTGTGCTCGTGGTCAGATGTCAGAGCTTCCCGGTAAGCCTGGCCTGCAGAAGAGGAGACGGGCCTGAGCTGAGAGCAGGACAGGTGCCCCAGGCTGCCCAGCCCGCTGGGCACCAGTGTGCACTAGTTAAAGGCCTGATGCACCGAGTCAGCATAACAGTGGGTCACTGGCCCACCCCAATACCTGCACAACAGGGTTTGGACAAAGTGTGGCTGGCTTGCACCCTAAGTCTAGCTTCCTAATGCCTGCTTCTGTTACTAGGACCCGGCTGAGAGAAACCACAGCCCCAGGAGACCCTGCAGCCCGTGGTTTCTAATGAGGTTATGACAGCCCAGAGAGGGTTGCGTGCTGGCGACACTGACACAAACAGTGTTCGTTAGAGGGCTGAGAGGCTGCCCTAACCAGTGTGGGGGGCTTTGATACACAGCCTTCTGCTCCCACACACACTGTATGCCCGGCCTCAATCCCCTGCATAGCAGAGTTACTTTTCTGCCTCTTAGCTCAGAGACTATTTCAAGTTGTCGGGCTGCAGGCAAGGACTGCATAGCAGGACCCTCTCACAGACAGTCGTAGTTCGCCAAGACCCAGATAAGACCCTAAATGTCACTGCCCATCTGAGTCCGGGACATGAGGGGAATGAAAATGTCTCTCCAAATGACCTGGGAAAGCTTGACACTTGAGTCTTACCTGTGTGCTGACTGCAGGCCAGGGCCAGGACTAGGACCCAGAAAGGGACCAGCTTCTTCCGGCTGACACCCATGCTGTGGAGCACGGGGAAATGTCCCCACTGGCAGCCTCTGAGGACAGACTCCAGTCACCAGCTGCCTTTTGTAGTCTGAGAGCTGGCTCCAGCCCCAGTGGTTTCACGTAGGTGGGCGGGGCAGGCCTGTGGTTCCCCTCACCCAGGTAAACAGTGGGCACTCAGTCACTTCAGGCTGGTCAATGGCCGCAGTCAGAGGGAGGTGTGCCGGCAGGTGGAGCCTGGTTTCCCTGAGGTTCCCTCAGGTATTATTGTGTAGTCCTCCCCAAAATGCCTCCACCCAGACTTTCCCAGGCCACCCTCTAAGCCATGAGTTCCTGGTACCTCAACAGACACATCTTCCAGGATGACCAAATGCTACCTTTGATCCTGCCCCAGGGCTTGTCCTGAACATTCATCCCCCTTTCCTTGGGCAGGAGCATTATGGGCAGCAACTACCAAGAAAGCAACAGAACTACTAACCCCCAGGGCAAACCCCAGCTTTAGCTTCATACTCCCAAAAACCTGGGTTATACCTCAAATTCCCAGACCCAAGAGAACAGTTTCAGCAGAGGCCCAGTTTTCCCCACTGGATGCCTCTGGATGCCAGAAGCCAAGGCGTTTAGTGCCTACTGAACTGGAGAGATACTACTAACCCTGCCTAGAGGAGCCTGTGCTCACTGTCCTGATGCCCAGATTAGAAAACATTATACATGGGCCCTTGCCCAGACCAAAGATATATGATGCTAGGCTTTGCCTTGGACACTGCTCTCCAGTAGCCAGACTCCTTCGGCCAATATCAGCAGCTCCGTTGCCCACAAGGCAGATAGAATGAAATACCCTACCAAGGGCAGAATGGCAGTAGAAGAAAGGCTGCCCCCTCCCTGCTGGAGAGAGGTCAAAGGTCAGAGAAAGATCTAAATTTGAACTTTCTGGTTGCTTCTGGCTTCCCTTGAGGCCTGTCTCAAGCCTATCCTGGTCACATGGTTCTCTGTGCTGTCCTTTGTGTGTGCCATGCCTTGTGAGAGAGAAACAGAGCATTTCAAACCTCACAGGAGTGTGGGGGCCCATGAGAACTATAGGTAAGTGAGTGAGTGAATCAATGAGCAAATAAGTCAGTGAACAAGTAGATGAGTGAGCGAATGAACAGATGAACAAGTGAATGAGTGAACCAATCAATGAGCATGAATGAATAAATGAAGTAATGAAGTGAGTAGACAATTGAGTAGATGACTGGATGGGTAAATCAATCAACTGGTGAGTGTGGATGAGTGAATAAATAGAGGAGTAAATGAGTAAGTCAGGAATGAATGACTACAAGAGTGAATGTGTGAATGAGTGAGTGAGTTGAAGAATAAGTGAATGAGTAGAGACACAGGAAAAAGTGTGGATGGTAATGGGATGTGTAAGGCAGGTAGGCTGGGGCTTAGATACACAACAATCCCGCTGCTCCAGCCACTAACTGTTGCAGAGCTGGGACTAGTTTAGCACTGAACAGGAAGCCTGAAGAATGGTTGGTGGTGAAGTGGACAAGGCTAGCCACGGCTGGGTATCTGGACTGTTTAATATTTGGGACCAGTGTCACTGAGAAGTCCATAAGGAGCTGCAGGTGGTGACCAGTCCCAGACTGGGGAGAGTACTTGACCTTGGTCATGCCTTCCTCACAACGTAGGAGGCTGCTTGGCCACCAGGATCCATGACCCTAGCACAAAGAAACTGGCCCAAATCACATCTTGACCCCTGAGTTATCAGCCTGACTTTGGTGGAGATCACACCTGTGTTGTGGGTTGACGACAAGCTGATCCTTTGGCCAACTCACAGACCAGACCATCCCTAGGCATGGCACACAAAATTCTAGGGCTGCTCTGGGGACCAGGCCCATGTGACTGACTCGTCCTGTCATGACCATGTGGATGTTGAGTTTCCTTTAGTACCTAGTACCTGGTTCTGGGCATTTCAACCACTGGACATCAGCTACCAGGAATACTGGCTGTTCCCATGTATAAATCTAACCTAGATGGAGCCTTGGCAGGGCCCAGTATTCTCCCTGAGGCTTAACAGTCTCAGCACCCAGGATTCACAAATCCACCTTGTAGGGCTCCCGTGGCTTCTGCCACCCCCCACCTCCAGCCTCATTCTGACACTTCTGATGGCCCCAGTCAGTCCTGCTTTCTCTTTGCCCTTCTTGCAGCCTGGGACAGAGTCTGTCCAGCTTCTGATCCAGGGCATGTGTGGGAGCAATGGCTGGGCCTAGAAGCCAGGGTGACAAGGCCTGATTTGCAGAATGGATCCCAGGCTGGGGATGTGCTCAGCTGCTGGAACCTGAAGGACACTGTTCTAAAGGACATACAGGAAAGACCCTGTGCACATGAAGGCAAGGGGCATGGTATCAGGGCAGTGACTAAAAGTCTTCTTTTGCTTGGCCCTTGAGGCCACCCAGCTCCAGGGCTGTGCCTGGGCTGAGCTGGAGCCCTCCATTCACTTATCAGCTCCAGTTGATAAGTGAATGGCTCACTACAGTCCATTGAGGAAGGCCTGGGATAACACCCCAGCTGTTGCCATGGAGTTAGGGAAATGTTAGGGACCAGAACAGGGCAGAGGCCATGGCTATATTCCAGAGCATCACTGTCACTCTGTTGTCTATTAGTCCCACCTTCGGCCCCCCAGTGTAGGACAGGAAGCCAGTATCTGATATCCCCTTGATCCTGGCATGCTAACCTGGTGACTCAATGGAGATTAAGCCCCATCCAGCTTGATCATGTTGGGATCAGGCCCACAGAATGGCAAGCCACAGCCAGTCTGGACAGCCTGGAAAATTGAAGGTATAGCTGGATATATCAAGACTCCATGCCCATCGTAGAAAGACCCCTCATCTGCAAGTCTAGCGCAGCCTTGGAAGATGCTTTGCATTTGATGGGTAGTATGCTCATTCCAACTCCCTTCTTGCCTGTAGCAGGAACTTCTTAGAGAATTCCTTGTCCTAGGCGAAGCCTCTGGCCTGCACCTGACATTAAGGTATCATTTCCACTCTACCGGCCACCTGCCTTGCCCAGCCCAGCCACAGTTTGACTCTCAGCCCAGCCTGTCACTGGTCCATATGAGCTGGTCTCAGATCCCAGCATCTGGAGCTCCAGGGCTGGCATTCCCCCACTGGCCACACCGTCTCCCTTCCAGTTTCTAGACATTGTCCTGAGGCCCTCAGGTCAGTGTAGCTCTGCCCAAAGAAGTCCATGTCCCTGCAGCAATGTGCAGGCCTGAGATCCTCGGCTTTCTTACTCCTTCCCAGGGGTGAGTGGGAAACGACTCTCCCTGGGAATCCAGGGGTGCACCTTGCCAGAGGGTTTGCTTCATGCATATGGCACCTGGCTGCTAGCATGGTTGGGCAGCCCTGCCGCTTTCAAGAATTAACTTGGGTGTTGACAGAAGGGGCAGGCTGCACAGTGGGTCTTTACCAAGCCCGGAACTTCCTTGATAAGGGGGAAAAGCATCTTAAATTTCGCCGGCTTTATTGGGAGTGGGGGCAAGGGAGAGACACGGTGAGGCAATGGCCACGGAGGTGCTGCTCCGCCCTGCCCGGAAGGAACTGAAAGCTGGCTTGCCTGAGGCCAGGGACTGCACCCCAGCATCAGAGGTGAAAGGAATCGCGTCAATTTGATTTTGCGGCGGGGCTGCCCATGATTCGGAGCATTCCTGTGCTTGTTTGTTTCTCTGAATCATTAGGCAAACAGAATTCCTCCCAAGATCTGGCTGGGCAGCTGGAGGAAGTCCTAACCCCTCTGGTCCTGGTTCCAGCCAAAGGGCCAGTTCTCCGGCCGTGCCCATGGCAAGGACCACATAGATGGCTGCTGAAAGTGACCAGTACCAGCCTCCACGTGGCTGCTGCTCCCCTTGCCTCGTCTGGAAGCATAGAGGGCTCTCTCTTACTGTCTCTGGGGGCTGGACCTCCTCTCTTGCCCTATAGCCCTTCATTCCTCCTTCTTTTGGTTCTAGTCACCTGTTGCTTCCTGGGCTCCTATAGCGTGTGAACCTGAAGATAACTTTGGGGGCAGATGAGACCATGAAGCAGAACATCAGACCCGTATCCTTCTCTGAGCAGAACACTCAGCCCATCAGCCTAGCCTTCTCCCAACCCTGAGAGGCTCTGGGTCTGTGACAGTCAAGTGGACCCTGTTAGTGCTAGTCCTTGGTCATCCCTCCATACTGCTGTTCTCCCGCTCTGACCTGGGGAGCCTGGTAAGGTTGCTCAACTCTTTGCGCCACCCTTTCCTCAGCCTTAAAGGAAGAGAAGGAATATTTCTTTACTGGCTCCCCAGGGCCAAGCCCCAACCAGAGCACTGGGACATGGATAGTAGTTCTAACCCTTTGGATGGAAAAAGAACACAAGTTCAAGTTTCATTCTATACAGCAGAGTCGGTGTTTTTAAAGGACATTTTCTTCAATAGCTGTCATACCCAGGGGCAGGAAGATTACTCGGTCGGTAGAGTGCACTCCAGGAAAGCGTGAGGACCCAATATTTGGATCCTCTGAACCCTCATTAAAAAGCCTGGCAAACACATAGAATACCAGCACTGGGGAATCGGGGACAAGGGACCCCTAGTAGAATCAATGACTCCAAAATCAGTAAGAGAACCTGTCTCAGAAACTAAGCTTCAGAACGATTGAAGAAGACACTTAATAACAACCTGTGGCCTCTACAGGCACATGCACGCACAAACACACAATCATATCTGTTGAGATTTATATTAATATATAAGTACTGCTTCTGGATACACAATATAAGTATTGCTTCTGGAATAATGCAAGGAATCTCCAAGAGACGCTTGCATACCCAGGCTCAGAGCAGCACAAGAGCCAAAATACACTGGTACATTAACAAGTCATCCTGTGTCCACACACCAGAATATTGCTCAACACACAGCTGTAAGCCCAGCACCCTGAGCCTGACACAGAAGGATAGCAAGTTTGAGGCCAGCCAGAACAACATAGAAAGATAGCCTGTCTCAAAAGTCAGGGGCAGGAAA